CCTGCTGGTCATTCACGCAAGAGACTTCTGGAAATGGACCATTGGGCCAGCTGTCTGGTTCTTACTAGAAAAACTCTACATGTATAAACGATGTATTCATGAACATGGTCAAACAGTTTTGCTGTCAGTCACTGTTGAAGATGAAAATGTTTTATGCTTGGAGATTCAACGTCCCCACAGTTTCTCATACAGTATTGGTGATTACATTTTTATCAAATTTCCGAATATTGGTGGACAAGAGTGGCATCCATTTACATTGTCCAGTGCTCCCGAAGATAAAACATCTCTTCGTATCCACATGTACAAGAAGGAGAACTGGACAAAAAAAGTACACGATTATTTCTCCAATTTACAAGCAAAACAGGATTCCTACAAGAAATTGACGGACGTGGTTGTCGGGCCTGTAATATCAGATTATTCTTCTTTAGTAAAACCGAAAAAAATGGAATTTAACGAAAGAGATCCGAATAATAATGTAGAAATTATTATTGATGGGCCCTATAGCTCCTGTACGAGGTATATCTTTGACAGCGAAAATTGTGTTTTAATTGGAGCTGGAATAGGTGAGTACATGAATTGTGTTATGCTAAGCTAATATCATTCTTTCTTCCAGGGATAACTCCTTATGTGAGTGTACTTGAAAGTCTGATGTATCAGTTTCGATCTCAACGTACGTTGTGTACCAATTGTTCACACATAAATTATCATGGTGACTTGTTTAATCGACGAACGTTGAGAAAGGTGGATTTTATCTGGACTAATCGTGATATCAAAAATTTTGGTTGGTTTATTAAACTGTTGTCTGCTTTTGAAGAAGAACAAGACACTTATCTGAGAGCTAATAGCGCACATGAACGATACTTAGACATTCATCTCTACTTCACATCATTGGCAAGTAATGAAAACCGAATTGGTAGTGTTGCCTATGATTTGGTATCAACTGTCTATTCTCAAATCTGCCATAAGGACATGTACACCAATTTGAAAACAATAACAAGTGTCGGACGGCCAAATTGGAAACTATTATTTTCAAAATTAAAAGCTGAACATAAAGATCGATCTACAAGTGTTTTTGTTACTGCACCAGAAACAATGAGTAAAGAAATAAAATAACAATGTGAAGAACATAATTTTAAATGTCATATTGAACCATTTAACGTCATACAAATATTATGTAGTCAACTTGAGGCGAGAAGTAGTCAGCAACTACGATAAAAGGTCTACCTAGCAGTGATTTCTTGCTAACTAAATCAGACTTAGGCAAGATTATTCAAAAGTTTTGGAGACGAATAGTGGTGTTTCTAAAAAATTGTTGATTTTCAAGCCTGATGATCAACCAGAGCCAGGTAGAAGCGAAAATCTTGATTTCATCCACGTTTAATCCTTATTTATTCTTCAGTTCTCTCATTGTTAGTACGCCAAGAAGATGAAAAACCTGTCAATAATTTATTTTTCATTGGAAAATCTTTAGATACAAAAAGAACTTTTTCATTCCATTTTCGTCTTCAGCTGGTCATATAAACTATCCCTAAAACCGACTCTAAAGGACGCAGTAGAAAAAATTAAAAAATCCTTTGTTAAATTAAGATGGGTATCAAAATGTAAACAAGGTTCAAATAAGTTAAGGCAACTGGGTGTTTTCGCATATTCATTTCCGTTTTTCTCGTGGCTCTTTCCAGTTATACCCTCTTACTACGCACCCTTGTCCAAATTTTAAACCGAAAGTTCAGGGTGGGACATCGTCTTGTGCATAGGACTTTTTGACTTATGTGAGGAGAAACAGTTAGATTACTATGTCGTTAATTATGTAAAAAGGAGATTATTGCGCTTCTACGATTCTCATTTGTGCAACTCTCTATCCTAGAAGATGTATTTATTGGGACTATTATCACCCGGCTAAAAGACTGAAAGCAGGACACTACTTTTGCAACAAACGCGTCATAAAGCAAATAAAGACCCATAAATCCGCACTGTTATCATGGCTAATCTTTATTCACGATAAAGAAGTCAAGTAACAGAGAGAATTTATCCTGGTTCTCGTTTTTGTTTTTTGTGTTGTTTTCTTCTATGCACTTGGTCTTATTTTAACCTTTTCTAGTCAATGTAGTACAGTGCATGGTTCAGATAATATATAGGCCCTATTGTTGTAACTCTCAATTTAATTCAAATGAACAAGTCTATACCTTTCCCGAAATGTAACATTTTTCTTACGAATTTGTATTCTTAAAGTTCCTTTTTTGTTTATAACTGTGTTTATTGTGAACCAACCCTTTTTGAAACAGCCCAAGAGCTTAACAAGATATGCAAAGTCAAAATAAAAAAAATAAAAATACATTTGTCCATATAAATGGAAAAATGACACTGTATAACAAGAATTTTAAATAAAATTTAAAAAATGTGAAAAAGTAAAGTGAAGATAGACCAATAACAATTCAAAAATTACTACAATAGAACGAACGATAGAAATAATTGATATATGCCCATGTTGTCGAAACCGGCCGTTAACCACGGTTATTTTAAGACCCGATAGTTAACCGTGGCTAGTTCAACTGAAACTATAGCAATACAGCAGAGAAACCGACGGTTAACCTCACAATTATCCGGAAAAACGGTGGGTTAGCCGCGGTTAACACATGGGATAATAATGTTCTAAACAATCAATATTGGATGTTTGAATATTGATACCAAACATCGATGGCGGTACAGCCCACAAGTGGTACGAACGGCTCGTACCTTTTAACCCAAAAACTGTTTTTTGCAGCAGAACTCTTTTAGAATAATTTGTTTCTATGACGACCGCACGTATCTTGCACCTTTATCGTATATCGCACGTAGCAAAGAGTAATTCTGGATCCGCCACTGCCAAACATTAATATGGATAAAATCAGTTACGCTATGAATAGCACATACCGCTTCCGCTTTTCCAAAATTATATGGTGTACTAGAAAATTAACCCTTATTTTACCCGATGGTATGAGTATAACTTTCTTACCCATTTGTATCTGATGATGGTGCATTTACAGTAATACAAATCATTGTTATCTGCGTCACACTATAACAGGAAAATGAAGTCTGGAGAAAATTTTTCTGTTGTCACTAATATAGGAAGAAATCGAGTTAGTCTATGTGTCGAGAATTGATTCTGTCTGTTCTAAGAGAAAAAGAGGAACAAAGAAAAACAAGTTCTACAAGAGTATCTCACATCTTGTTCAGTCTACATATATGCCCAATGATAATCACTAATTCGATATCAGAGAGATCTGACGTTACAGATATTCATTTTCAAAATCAGTTTTAACTTATTAAGTATAACTTATTTGACTATTTTAAAGGTGATAGATTGATTATGAAATAGCTGAATAATGCCTTTAACAAATAGGCAGAGATGCCAGATCCAAAAGAAGAAATCAGAAAAAATCAGAATGCGAATTTTCTCACATTAAACTATATTAGCATGTTTTCCAACAACATGTTGTTAACGTATATCCGTTATTTAACAATCAAGTTTGTCTTGTTTGTCTTTTTCAGGTATTTTGTTGGGTTTAAAAAACTGCAAAAGTCATTTTCTTCGTCTCAAGTTCTTATTGTTTTCAATGTTTTCATGTCGGATATTTTTTTTTGTCATCTGCTCTAAACAGGAAAGAGTAAGTTCTACGCAATAGAAAAAGAAATTTGTTTCATTTTCTGTTTTAATCTGTGCACTTTACTCTTAATATAATTTATCTCTCTTATGTTCCAGATGTAAGTTTTCTATAATTTTTTCTATGGATTTCGTTCAGCAAATAAGTGTGGAAGACTGACTATACGTCATAAAAAATTCCGTAATTTTGCATGATCAAAACTCATTGCGTACTAAAGTCATCTACTACATCTTGAGCATGCTAAAGTTTAAATTCTAATTTATTTTATTTTATTTTTGTATAGTTTCGGTTTCTTTGATTGTACTGGTGATACACACATCGGCATATATCTACTTCCAATGTGTTCGTTTTTTTAACAGACACCTTTATAAAAGCACACATTTTTCTGTTTAAGGAATAAAATCGGAAAGTAATAAATTTTATATTTTCATGAAATGTTCGTCTTTTATATATTCAAGGAGGAGAGTGCTCACTGTAAACTTATTTCGTGTTGCACCGACTTCGTGTACTAACATTACACTAACAATAGTGTACCCATTTTCATCTTTCATACTAGTTTAAAGTACACGAGTTGTACACGATACTGATCTATTTTTTAGAAAAGCATCCGTTTTAGTCTTTGAAAAATATGGCTGCCAATATCGATGACTATGGTCTAAAAAGCAAGTTTTCGACACAAGCAAGAGAAGTTTCGGGAAGGCGACAAAGGAAAAACTTGCTTTTTGACGATAATCACCTATCTATATTCACCTGCGTCTTGATGAGGATATAATAGAATTGGCTCAATTCTATTATGCCCTCATCAAGACGTTTGACTCCAATTTAGGATCAACGCTAGCTTTGCATCACTTAATCTGTCAACAGATCTCTGCTTGACGCCCACAACAAAGTCTTTTGAGATGTGATGGCGCAGTGTATAGAATAGATTCTAATGCTGCTAGTGCAGCAGACATACTTTTTATCAAATCGTCGCTCAGAGCTTGCACACACCTCATTTTAATCAGAAATGCTTAATTTACGAACTAGCTTCAGTTGAATCATTTGTGATTGTGCATTTTGAGAAGCTTTATAAAACAGTTTTTTTGACTATTACAGAACTTCTTCAAAACCTTCAAGTTGACAAAAAACAGTATAGGTTCTAAGAGAAAGAGTGGACTATTCGACCATATGCTTAGCTAGACATCCACTTGACAGATTGTGTAAATATGGACAAAAACAGTTTGATTGAAAAAAGCCAAAATAGTGTTTCAGTTTTGTTTGGTCAATAACAAAATTGCAGATGAAGATGTTATATATATCGAAGCACACAAAAAAAATAAACATATCTGGGTGAGAACTTTCGAAAAAGCTACATTTTCTTCACTTACAAATAAGAATGGTACGGTGTGGTGTAGTGGGTATAATCCAGTTGGGAGATTCATCATTTGTTATAGTATAATATTCAGCTTTTCTTGGTAAAAAATGCTGAATGAATTCTTTCCGGTGAGCAATAACATCGGCGCGTTCGAGGCCTTCAAAATAAGGATGATTGCTGTTGGCCTCATGTCTTCCACCCCAACGTCGTATGTCCAAACGACAGTTCTCAATTGAACGAATTAAATTATTCGCAGATTTCTTCAAATTATTGATTTTATAGTAACGTTCATCAATAAATGTTGCTAAATCTGCCGCCTTAAAACTACTTGACTTTTGTGAACACGCATCGACCACAAACGCTCTACCTTGAATCTTCAACTCAGGAAAAACGTCATAAAACCCATCGGTGTGCTTTTCACCTCTATTTTCATTTACAAAATCGTTGAAATCTTTACATAAAAATGTTTTGGCCCATTTATGACACGTTAGGATGCTTATTGTTCCAAATGAACTTAAAAATTGATCAGTATCTCTCCATGATAAATTTAAATGTCTCAAAATCATATAGATCATGGTACTTAAAAATTTTGCATGGCATTGTTGTGCACATAATGTATATAAGTCACCGATGTCTGTTGAAATTTGCTTGTTGGTAAAGTCGATGGTATCTGGTTGTAGATTAATAAATTCTCCGTCTTCACTTGAGGATGATTGTTGCTGCGGTGGTTTATCAAAAAAATTACCGGTACACCATCTTTTGCTCAATAAATTACGATTATGTGCTTTTCTTTTACTGAGTGGTATATTTATTGTGACCGTGTTTCTCTTTGAATTCCCAACTTTTACTTTTAAACACACTTACACCACAATCAAATGCACAGAAAAGCAGATATATATATGCCAGCAGACAGAGGAAAAGAAAGGTTTTCTCTTATGAACAAACGAAAGAAAATAGACTAAGTGAAAAGTGAAAAGAGGATGAAATTGTCTTTCTTGAATACAATGAAGATTTCGCTGTGCAGATAGAGAGGGATCAATGAAATATCTGAATATACTATACCCTAACACTTATGAATAAAATTAAAAGTTAAAAATCAAATAAAACGAGAGAAATCAGCGTTCGTAAATATATATATCTCCCTCTCAATTGTTTGTTTTCTCCTACTCGGCGGACGCGCAGCCTTTCTCGTCTGATGAGCAGGCTGGCACGCTTTCACGGTCCATTTTATACGTAGTGATACGAAAATTTCGCTTTTCCTAACCATCAGGTTTCCAGAGACCTTCCAGAAACCACCTGGAGATCTTGAAAATGTTTTCATTAGATTTAGCATCGTTTCTTACCTATTGTCCGTTAGTTTGAAGAATTTTGGATGAAAAATGAAAAAGTTAACGAAAAACGACTTGCCCGATTTTAGGCGAAAACGGCTAAATTTTAATAAAATTCGAATATCTCAAGAACGAAAAACATTTTTAAAAAAAGCGATTCATACTTTTTTTCTTCGTTTCAAGGCGAATCGAATGATGTATGAAACTTGGCTTCATGTATTAACCAAAGAGCTGCGATAGGTTTGCACGATGAGGGTATCAAAACCGAAGATATATCGGTCCCGCTTCGCGCCCAACAAATATTTTTTGGTGTTGAACATTGAAATACAGTTTTCTAGGTGTAGTTTCCAACGGTGAATAAGAAAAATATAGTTTCACGGCTTCGAAATGAGGTCGAACCAAGTTATTCAATTTTTAAAAAAAGTTACTGGTTTTTCGAAAAAAGAGATTCGTCAAGTTTTTTGAATTTTTCCACTGATAATGTGAACTGTGAAGGTTAAAAACCAGATAATCTTGATCAGTGTAAAATTCTCTATCGAATGATGTATGATTAAGCCCAAAATAAAATAGTGCTATAATTTTGAATTTGGAGCACCTTACATTAAACTTTATGAATAGAAAATTTTCTGTTTGATGATTAAGTGTAATTGATCAAATGGTGGGCGAAAAAGCAAAATCTAAAATTCGCTCGAACTCTGCTCTCCGTGCATCTTAAGAGCACAGACATAATGTTTTATAATAGACAATAGTTTTGGTAATCATGATATCAGTCGATAGTAACGATTAGAATATTGTTCGAGTGTTTCAACATTTGAGAATAATAGGAGAAATATATTAGGTTATGGCAACAGATGATGTTTAAGCAAATAAAAAGATGATAGTCGATAACAATCAAGAAGACGTAAATTTATTTGATCATAATCTGAAAAGAAAACCGAAAAATAAGTCCGCGACTCGTTCAGTTTCAGTATTGTACGACAGAATCGCTAAATAAAGTTTAAAAATTTAGGTTTATTATACGTCTACAATATATTCACCGCATTTATTCATATGTTTATGACCACAGAGTTGTCGAAAATCTTTGTTACTTTTATCACTCAGTACCAATGAAGCGCAATGGTTTGATGTTGTTGATATTTTTTCGGTATGTACTTTATAGCTGGAGTTAAGATCGCTATGGCTCAACAGAAAATATTTTTTAGCAAACAAAAAATTCCAAAGTGTGAAGGAGAGTTCATAAAATTTTTTACAAAGTTGTAACTGCTGCAAGAATAACCTTCATTCCACAATTTAGACAGTTACGTGAATTAAGTGCAAATTCAATACCAAGAGAGGCATTAAAATAGCGTTTTCATACATAGTTGAATGAGTTAAAATGTATTGACGTCCAATAAGGATAGTTTGGTAAAATAACGCAATCCGTAAATTTTAGGCATTTTGTTGACTTTAACACTTACTGCAGTCGAGGTACGTCTCCAGAACAGCTTCCCACCTACTTTCTTCATCAACCGAAACCAGACTGTCAGGCATACAGATTCACAACGGTTGTTCTTTCGAAAACGTACCACGGTTAAATCGACTTTATCCCAAAGTAACAGGACTAGCGCAACTAGAGTTCTTGATGGCGAGTATCACGATTAAAACATTTTAATACGGCATCGTGGCATTCTAGACTTGTGGAAATCACATTCGAACAAAGCAGACGTTTTCTGAGCAATTTCTTCATCTTTTAGCGAAACACCTGCATGTGCTGGTACCGTCAGATTAAAATCTATAGGTGCAGCGCTGCAGAATTCCTAACTCACAAAAAGTTCCAATATGCTACGCGCGTTCTCAGGAGATCATTTTAAAAAATCGTTTTTTCCGAAAAGTAGGCCTTTTTTTAAACCATATATCGTATCAGCACACGGCAACAAGATACGCATTCGACACGTCTTTTCAAGCTCTATTTGATGAAGTAGTTATCACTGAGATTAAAAACCATCTAATGATAGAAAAAAACAACTTTAAAAGGAGATTTTCCTCGTTTTTCAGAGTTGAGTACGTGCTGCACCATTCCGTGCGATCGCAGGACGTCGGGAATATGTATTTCGCATGGACTCGACGTAGGCTGTTAGAAAGAAAGGTTTTTACTTTTGCTCAAGCACTTTGGAAACAGACGAAATCTTGTGGTATTTTTGCTGCAAAAATACTTTTCTGAATGTGCCTGAGCAAAAGTAAAAACCTTTTTCTCTAATAGCCTACGTCGAGTCCATGCGAAATACATATTCCCGACGTCCTGCG